CTCCCCCCTCTGATACATCCTTTTGCTTGCAAATCTCCCACTTGATTCATTATTAACCAACGCCCCCCCCTCCCTCCCCTCCTTTCTTTCACCACCTCCTACATAACCTCCTCCTCATCCCTTTTCTCTGCTCTCTCTCTCTCTTGTCTCCCTCCAACCCACCAACTCTCTCTGATTCCCTTTGTTCCAGTAGGCCAGATGTTAGCTGCACAGGTACAGCAAGCTCAGTCTCGAGAGCCCTCTCGTCCTCGTTCCCATTCTCAGCAGAATCCTACTACTACTACTACTGCCACCCCTCTAACTCAATCTCATCCTAATCATCATCAACCCAGTCGTCCAACCTCTGCTGCACTTCAATCCTCCCTCCCTGGTTATGGTTTCATTCATCAATCCACCCTCATCCCTCACTCGCTGATGATACCCACTGTCTATGCCTTCAACCAACAACTGGCTAGCCAACAACAACAGCAGCAGCAGCAGCAACTCTATCTCCCGCTCATCCATTCCGGTGCTTCCTTCCCCGAACTGGGCCACCCACCACTCCACTTTTACTCGGGACCTCCCAACCGCAACCTTAACTCATCAAGCCCCATCTTAGGCCCCCCTCCTGCCCCCCCTCTGACCCGATCTGCCCATTCCGATCACTTCACCCCTGGCTCGGCCACCTCTGCTGCTCATCACCATCATCGCCATCTCCCCCCCTCCCTTCATCCGCCTCACCATCGTGCCCAGTCTCGCTCGCTCTCCAATCCAGGCTCGACCAGCAACTCATCCAACCATCCCAAGACTCACACGCCTGCCTCCCCCTCAGCAACCACAGCAGCAACCGCAGCAGCCAATTCGACCAACTCGCTCTACAGTACCATCCACCATCCGACTGCCAATCAGATGTATGCCCATCGACCCTCGGCTGGAAATAGCGACCCTTCTCCTTCTCCATCCCCACGCATCGTCAGTCCTTTGTCCGGCTCCAGCGGGATTCCCTCACCTAGACCACGCACTCAAAGCAGTCAAAGTGATCGTTCTAGGCCAGTTTCTCATCATGGCTCGGCTCCAAAGCCCCCCAACACCAACAACCTCCATCGCTTGAGGACTGATAGTCAGAACAGTCATCACTCGACCAACTCGCACGGATTCTCAAACGGTCCGAGCGGCACTCTCGTAAAACCTCCTGGCTCGCTCCACGAACCTCAGTTCACTTTCAATTCATCTCCAACTGCTCGCAGCGCGACTGCCTCCACTAACTTATCCTCCTCCTCCATACCCTCCTCTGGTACCATTCAGGGTCGTCCTTCATCACCCTCAACTCATTCCTTTAACTCATCCAACTCTCCTGTTGGTAACATGGTCCGTCGATCCAGTCCGCTGGCTCAATCGAGCCACTCATCCCCAGCTCATCATCAACCCATCAACGCTCAAACGGTCGCCGCAGATTCAGCAACTCTCCAACCTACAACTTCTACTACCCCCACCACCACCACCACCAACAACAACAACAACACCAACATCAGCAACAATTCCTCCGCTTACTCCTCCTACCGCAACTCGTCCGCCTCAACCGTTACCATCACAGCCGCCCCGCCACCCACTATTCCCACCAGTATTACTGTCGTTCCAGCCAATCAAACAGACGAAGAGGTCGAAGAAGACTCAGATACCACTTCCGATGTTGATCATCGTCCACCTGGTCACAGATCCACACCCGGCACTAGCGTTGATAGCTCAACCTCCAATTTCACTCAACCTGAAGACGTCTCCTCTGCCACTGAATCACCTGCCTTTCCCGATCGCACTCCTCACAAGCATTCGAAACACAGTCTCAGCAATAAGCTTCGACGCGCCCTTAGCATCAATGCTTTGCATGAAAACATGATTCACGAGTCGATTCCGGAGCTTGATCCGGCAATCGGTCATGAAAGGTTGAAGAGTTCCTCAGCCTCGATAGCTGGTGTGCCCCTAAGCCCCAGTATCACTACCAAGGTCAAGGCTGGTCGGCAGTCGGGCTCGAGTCGACGCTTTGGTTTCCTTAACTCCAAATCCAACTCGTCAACAGACAATCTCTCGATCTCATCCACCGTCAGTTCGGCTAGTGTTATGATTCGCAAGCTGGGCAACTTGGGCAAATCTGCTCGGACCAAGGGGGTAATGGGTCTCACCAAAATTTTCAAGGATAAGAACGAAGCTGCCGCAGCCGAATCGAATGCAGACGACAGCAAGGGCTCCAGCAGCAAGCCAGCCCCATTCAAGAAGGCCTCTTCTAACCAGCACAAGAATCTCGCCTCCACATCAGTTGCACAGGTACAGGCCGAGGTCGATAGGTCGCTATCCGTTGAATTCCCTGGGATGACACCAGCTGCCGCCTTTATCCACAAGCAGAAGCAACAGTATGCTGAACAGGAAGCGGCCGCTGCAGCTGCTGTAGCATCTGCCGCCGAAGCCTTGAATCAGTCTCGAGGCTCAGAGAGTGTGAAGTCCAAGGGTCGAGCTGGTTCGGTTGGAAGCTCAAGCTCGATGACACCCGGCAGTGCGTCCGAGGCGCGCAAGAAGATGATTGAGAAGGAGAAGGAGAAAATCAAAAGCAAAAAATCGAGAAAGTGGGGATTCGGTGGTCTCGGTGGTACTGGGAACGCTTCGGAAGACCTTCCTGCTTCAACCTCAGTAGAGGATCTTCGCCGACCTCAAGGATCGGATGCTGAAGAGAATGAAGACTGGGACGACAATACCGTCCGAGGTGCTAACATCGAAGGCATGATTGACTCTCAGCCGGGCGCCCCTCGAAAGTCTGTTGAAGAATTGCGAGGTGATGATGATGACCCGGAAGCTCTAGATGAATACGACATGGAATCACTCTTTGGAAATTCTTCTAATGATGGTTCTTCTACCCGTCGCACTGGCTTGAAACCCCGTCCTTCCAAGGAGGCAGTACCTAAGAAAGGTATCTTGAAGAGTAAGTTGCTCTTACAGGTTGGGTGCGACCCGACATCGTTTTGCCCTTACTCATGATCTGCCGAACTTCTTTACAGACGCCCAAAACTTTTCACAAGAACAGCATCTTTCTCCAGTTTCATTCCAATCCAAACCGATCAGTGCAGCCACGACGCCCGACTCGCCCAAGCCACAGAACTTAGTGGATGAGCCGGTACTGCCTGGTCTGCCCCAATTGGGCAAGGTTCCTCAAGTCGGATCAACGATCGATTTCGGAAGTACGATGCCGAACTTGAGTCTAACCATTGCAGGTGCTGAGATCAAAGATCGTCGGGCCACCTTTGCACAACACCTCTCCGTCCACACCACTTGGCCTCCTGCTATCTACGACCGACGGGGTGAACTGGCCACTTGTAATAGGCTCACTCCCACCCTGGCTCAACGCATCAAGGTACATCTTCTTTTCCCTCTTCTTTTTCTCTTCTCTCTTTATTGTTCTCTAATCGTCGATTTATTTTGTTAATAGGAGGAAATCAACGCTTTCAAAATGGAAGAGATGGAAGTCCATTACGCTTCCAGGGTACACACTCACTTCTTTGTTGTAAGTCTTCCTTCACACAACACAAACACAGAGAGGACCGATTGTTCTCTGGATCAGAATATGACATACTTACTGTGTTCTCTGTTCAAACTTCAACAGTGAACCGGTCGCTCCAATGATCGGTTGGGTTAGAAATAGTAAGAAGCTGTCATGGGGGAATCTTATGCAGTGATGATAGACAATGTCCGCAGATTGGAGATCTTTTTTTGTAAGCTCGAATCTAGTTGATGAGCACAGACCTCCCCACATACATATACACAACACACATATACATACAAACCCCTCCTTCTGCTTTGCCCTACATATATACACATATATATCCAATCACCTCCACTCCTCCTCTCAAAGCACCAGGTCATCTTTCATTTTGTTTTTGTTCCTTTCTCTTTCTCCCTTCTTCTCCTTCTCTCATTTTTCTCCTTATTCCTTTATCACACTTCTTTCTTTTGTTAGTCTCCACTTGTTTTGTTTTTGGTCCCCTTTTTTGTTGTTTACTCTTGTGTAAGAAGGATTTTGCTTTTTTTGTGTGTGTGTGTGCATGTGTGTGTTTTTTCTTTTCATTTTCAAAATAATATATACATATATGGATATCTAGACATAGACATCAATCTACTTTCTCTTTTTTTTTCTCTTTCCATCACTATCACCAATCTTTTTCTATCACTCCAGTTGTTCTTTGATGGGCTTTACTTATTCTTTTCACCTTGTTTTCTTCTTTGGTTTGTTATATTACTTAAAGATACATACACACATATATGTATATGTATTTACATACATATATACATATGAACAGAATTTTATTCTTACATTCATTCATGACCTCTTTTTTTTTTTTTTTCTTACATTTCTTTTTTTGCTCAATCAATTCATCATCATTATTTATTACATCATCATCATCATTGCCATCAACAAACCAAAACCAAAACCAAGAATGATAACTATGTACATTAATCATAGCCTCATCCTACTTGAAAGAACATTTTTTTTCTCATTTCATTTCATTTCATTTTTTTTTCTTCATACATACATGTTTTGGTTTTGGTTTTGGTTTTGGTTCTGGTTTTGGTTTTGGTTTGGTTGGAAAATACTTTGGATTTATTGGTTTCCTTTTTGGTGATGATGATGATGATGATGATGAAAAAGACAGAAATGAGGATGGTGATGAAGAAAAAAGGTGTATGTAGATCACATACAATGTACACACAAAACTGTTTTTTTATTAGCATATGTACATACAAAAATAGATTTTCTTGTTTTGCTTCTTTTAAGAAATATGAAGGGAAATCGTACATACAAAAGATAGCTAAACATTCAGAGAAATCAGGATGAACAGGTACAGTATAAAAAAAGGGTATGCATGTATGTGGTTGTGTGTAACTCTAAATAGAAAAAGAACTGTGATATATATGTGTTTTAGGTTGAGGGGTTCAGGGATGAAGAATACATGAGATGTGGATCCCAAGAAGATCGAGCATTGTTCAGAGGAACACAAAAGGGAAAACGAGATGGACACCAATCCTTTTATGGATCCACCATGATAGCCTTCTTAAATTAGTTCACAACAAGATTTTTTTTTGCTGCATGCCAATTGATGAGGGTTTGCAGTGCCACCCTTGAGCCAAGGAGGGACGCCAAGGGGCGCCTTTTGCAAGGCCTGGGGGAGCCAGGGTGCCAATTCTGTGCTGCATGGGACCAAAATGTGGTGGAACCAGGATTTTCCTTTTTTTAGTTTTTTTTTCTGCTCATCAAGAAATTAGGTTAATTAATTCCAGGGGTCCCAGTTACAGTAAATATATTGAGTGGGCTTGTAGTAGGCTATGTAGTACTGGGGGGGGGGTAGACACTTGAAGGGTGACAGCATCCAGGGTTCACCCCGTGACCAGCACCACCAACCCTACAATTGATGCAGGTTTGATCATAAGGGCATTTCCACTGTGGGTTGCTAAACCAATTTTAGAAATATGAGCCTGATTTGAAAACACCACCATGATTGTTTAAACATTCAAAACAAGGACAACTTGGCCTCCAGGAGCTATTGCATTATCAGAAATAGCAACCGGATGGCAGCCCAACCTTGCAAGTTTAACAGATATCACCTGTGATTCTCTTTCTCCCCTTTCCCCATATGTCCCAACACCCACTCACCAGAGAACTCACCCTGAAAGATTGGTACCTGTCTTGGAAAGAGTACACTCTCAAACATTGGTACCGGTCACCAGAGAGTGTACACTCTCAAAGACCAGTACCAGTCTTTGAGGGTTATACATACTGTCAATGACTGGTACTGGTTGCTAGAGAATGTAAACTCTTGAAGACCGGTGCTGGTTGCTGGAGAATGTGCACTCTCAAAGACCAGCACTGGTTGCATTAGAATGTACCCTCTCAAAGACCAGTAGCAGTCTTTGAGAGTTATACATACTGTCAATGACTGGTACTGGTCACAGGAGTGTATGCTATGTATGTCCAGTACAGGTTGGTAGAGAAAGGATCAGCTGGTTTCTAGGGGAACCTTTTGTGCTCCCCACTAGTTGCTATTTTTGGCAACTCACAGTGGAAAACCAACCGGCTGCCAGTTGCTAAAAGTGTGACACAGTTGCCAAGCATGAAGATTTGGCAAGTTAGATGGCAAGATGCGGTGGAGATGAACATTTGGCTGGGACAGGAAGGACTTTCAAGCCTAAAGCCACAAAATAATTTTTTAAAAAAGAACTAATCAATTCGAAGAAAATCTGAATGGGCGGTTTCTTGTGCTGCCTGGGGAAGCAACATTGGTCAAAACTTTGAAGGGGAACAACCCAAAATGACTGAAAAAATGCATTTGAAGGGATGTGGCAATCAAGAATTATCAAACTTAGCTCAGAGATTTCTCTGAGAGAGTTTCCAAAGATTTGCCAAGTCTGAAATTCTATTTTCTAAATTTGTTGAGGCTCTCATTTTTCAAGGGTGCTGAGAGTGCAACTCATAGTCAAAATCTTGCTTGTTGAATAGAAATCGCCCCTCATACTTGTGCACCTGCAACAAGTACAAGTACTTGCATGAAAATTCTCAGATCTCAGACACCCAAACCCACACCCATACTTGTGGGGGCAGGACAAAGCAAGTACTTGCGAGTGTGCAAGCTTATTTTGAGATATATATAAAGGTGATAAATTCTCTTGTGTTTTCATTTCAGAGATTTGTAAACTAAGTGAGTTTGAATAGTAATAATAAATCTTAACTCTTGCCCTTGATTGGAGGACTTCCTGTTGGACCTGGGGCCCTTGCAGAAGTCAATCTAGACCCAAAAATTCTTGATTCTCACAGAGAAATTTGAATTTTGAGGCTCTAAACCAGCTCTGAGAGACCTGCAGATGTTGACAGGAAGTCCTACATTTTCTTCCAGATTTCTCCCTTGCTGCTTTCTTCTCATTCTTCTTATTTGCCTTCCATTTTCTCAAAAGCTCCCTCTCAATCTTACCATTTTTAGAGTAAAATGCCAAACTCATCCCCCTAGTGACAGACTAGAGAT